AGAATAAAATAAAGTAAATAAACCCAAATTTTAAAAAACAAAAAAAACCTGTCAGTGCTGCAGCAGCGTCCTCTCTCTCTCTCTCACTCACACACACGCACACACACACACACACACACACACGCACACGCACACATCAAGACTTTAAAGAGGTTTCAGGAGAGCGACAACACATCGTGGAGGTGTGCACGTGTTGCACATTCACTCACCTCCATATTGCACTTCACATAATTAGTAAAAATGTCCTTTATGGTGGTATGATGTGTTTTTTTTTAAATCTTTTAATTTATTCAAACTTTATTTCTCCTCTTGCTGTTTCCTCCTAAATGTTTTCTTGAGCTCTCCTGCTGCAAAACAAATCCTCCTGAATTCCCTTTTCCGTTGAAAATAAATCAACACCCTCACTCATTTAATGATACGCATAGTCACGTGCTCATCATTAATCTACGAGAATAAATCAAAGAATGAATGAACGAGAGATCAGAGAAGAGAAACAGAGACAGACGTGAAGACGGAGGAGTCACCTGCTCAACCAATCAGAGGTTCATAATGGTCATAAGAAATAATTGATAATAAAAACACATGATTATGTTTTATGTTCGAATTATGAAAAAAGACATCAGACACATTTTAATCGATTAGAAAAGAGCGGGAAATTTATTTTTCATTAGGCAACTATGAATGGAAATATCGTGGGCCTTCTTCTTATAATTATTATAATTACTATACTATTATTATTATTATTATTATTATTATTATTATTATTATTATTATTATTATTATTATTATTATTTCATTGGTCGCTTTTCATTTGACTCGTGAGAATCCAGGGACTGAAACCGGAAGTAACAAACCGCTCAACAATGAAACAAAGAAACAAACAGATAATATAATAAATAAATAAAAACTCCAATCATCTCTGAAATGACTCGTTTTTATTTGTATTTATTTATTAATTAGTTAAAGTGTTTGGAGCTTTAAAACATTAAAATGTTTAAGTTTAAATCTTTGAACTAGATGATTTAAAAAAAAGAAAATACAGTTGTATTTATTTGTTATTGTTTTGTACAGTTATTATGTTTATTGTTGGTTTACACACTTCCTAAACTTAAGGTAATACTCGGTGTTTTAAAGGATTTGTATCTGGTTTCATTAATTCGTCTTTTTAAACTTTAAACCTATAAAATAAATTAGTTTCCTAACCTGCTCACGCACTTTGTTTGATATAACTGATGAACTAATTACAATTAATTATAACAATGATTATAATAAAAATACTTCTACTTTTCATAATCATGCAAATAATAATAAAATAAATACTAATAAGAATCATCATATTTAATAATTATTCATATAATAATAATAATAATAATAACAATAATAATACATAACAGTAATACTATTAATAACAATCTTAAAATGACTAATTAAAATCATCATTATAGATTATACTTATTGTTTTAATTATTGTCATAATATAATTAGAAGAACAAGAACCATTATGAGAATCATAATCATTCAAATGTCTGTGTGATGTCTATAATATTTTACTTTAATTCATAGAAATAAAAACTAACTGTGAAAAGAATTCTGTTTTAAATACGTCCAGTCAAAGGCTAGAAAACTAAAATCAACTTCCTCTTCAAGTTGTGACGAGAAATTTTCAAGAAATAAATTCTATTTAATAAAAATTAAAACTAACTCTAAAATCTCATTTACAGATTTAAAAGGTAAATTAATATCTACTATGTGTTTGTTTAAAAGTAACACATTCTGTGTGGGTTCAGAGTAACCGTCGGGGTCGCTCTGTGGGGTCGGGGTGCACTGACACTGACATTTGGAAATGTTGGATTAAAATGTGCAGGACTCAGTGAGGATTTGGGACTAAATTTATGACTCAAACAAAACATTTAAAGGTTTATTTCAGAAAGTGGATAGAGTCAGAAAGAGGATATAGTGGTGAATGACATGCAGGTTGGATTTGAACCCGGGATGCCCGTCTGGAGGATTACAGCCTCTGCCTGGAGGAGACTAGAACTAGACGACTACAGCCTCTGTACAACAATTTATTGATGGAAGACAAATATTTCAAACTTCACCTTCTTACTTGATTTAAACGTAGACGTAGAAATCTCTAATGTGATTTTCAAAGCATCAGCAGATGGTTCAGTTCTAAACTTTTAAATCTTATACTAAAGTTGTTTTATTATAAAGACGTCTTAATTCTTCGTCTTTTCCATTTTAAAGGATTGATTCATTGATGTGTTATTGGATTTAGAGGCTGATCAAAGCGTCATGTCTCGTCTTATTTGATGCACAAAAGAAAAGAAAGTGGAACTAGAAGTCTGACGTTAATGAAAGTGTTTGTGACTAAAGTCTGAGACCAAACTGCAGAAGACATCAGCTTTAATGTCCCTCTCTCCCTGTCTGTGTGTGTCCAACTCTTTGAGCTCTGACGTGCAGCTCAGAGGATTGTTTTCCTTTCAGTTAAAAGCCGTGGCCCCCGCCGGCGAGGCCCCCGCAGCCTCTCTCTCCCTCCTCGATAAGTCCTTACCTGAAATCAAATCCTGGTGCTTAACGAGGAGGCAGCGGGCTGCAGGCAGAGAGTGTCAGCACTCTGCACTATGTCATCGAGCACAACTATTTGACAGTTGGAATTATCTGTAAATACTTCATTAAAGTGTGTATGAGTTCCCCTCTTGTGCGCCTCACGGTCCAACTCTGGTAAGATTTACAAATGATAACATAAACACTGAGAGAGAGAGAAAAAAGAAATTCAATTCTCATTTGAAAATAATCGCAGAAAAAAAGAAAAAGAGAGAGAGAGGGAGGGGAGGAGAGGGGAGCTGTGGGAATTTGATTGGGGGCCCACGAGCAACAAAACAGCGGAGGTCTGTGTAATGAGGTTTGGAAAGTGTGTTCAGTGTTCGGGGGCCAACGTTTACTTGACCTGCCAGAGGGATTGTCTTCCAAATGGACGCCAGGAGTGCCAGAAGTTGAGCTGAGCTGTCCCAGAAATCTCCTGAAACTACCTGAGATCTGCACAGAGGAGAAACGGGCCGGGGTCACCTCGTCAGGCGAGAGGGGACTAACTCCTCCTGTGACCTGCGGCTTCAATATTCAGACTCGACTGTATGAATGCTGTAGGTTTTCTTTTCCTCCTGAAAATTTACCCTCACACAAACAGACTGGACGGCCTGCAGACCACAGGGCAAGTCCGATTAGATCATTTCGGCGGTGCTCATCAGGGAGCTACCGATACGATATTATCACGATATGTAATCATGGTACATTATTATCACAGCTTTAAAGCCTCTGGAAACATGAGATCAATGTTTAGAGTCTTATTAAACTGCCAGATTACAACCTGAGAGCACATTAAAGTTCAGAGTTATTAAAAACATCAAGTTTGAAATTCAGATTTTGTCTGTTTGGATCATTTTTCAGGACTCTTAGTTTAGCATCCCATTTTGATTGGCATCTTCCTGACTCCGCCCACAACAATGTTACCCCCCGGGGTTCCTGAACTTTTCAGCTCACGACCCACAAAATAAAGGTGCCAGAGACAGGGGACCCCCTTTGTCCCTGAAGGTGTATAACACAGCGCACAGCCACACACACTCTCTCTCTCTCACACACACACACACACACTAACACACTCATAGGCCGATCCAAACTCTGGTGACACAACATAATATAATCTCCACAAACATTTATGCACAATCATTTGTGCATCTAGAGCTGCAGACGCCGCCATTGTTGTCCTCATTGCAAACTTACATTTGAAGTATTTTTGCGCGTTCATTTAATTTCACTTAGAGGCATGCTTTCATTTGTCATTTAAATACCTTTTTAAAGCTTATATTTTCACAATAATGGGTAAAATATACATCTATATTTATAGGTTTTTTTGGAAGTCATCTTGTTCTTGATCTTTAAATGGAGATTAATTTCCCCCTCATGTCAGTGAGTGAGCAACAAATTCTAAGTTGATCAGGATTTGGCTCTACATAAACTGAAGGGTTAAACAATTCATATCAATTTTTTTGATTTTTGTCTTTTTATGTCTTTATGCAGAGATAGGACGGTGGATAGAGTCGGAAATTAGGGAGAGAGAGAGAGAGGGTGGGGAATGACATGCGGGAAAGAAGCCACAGGTCAGATTTGAACCCGGGCCTCTCCGCTTCAGGGACTGCAGCCTCTACATGGGGTTGGTCCCCCAACCACTTGGCCCCCTGGACTTTAAAGATTTTTAACAATATAAAATGTATAAATCTGACATTATGCATGCAGGGGAATGTGACAGTACGTAACCTTATTAATCTTTCTTTAAACTAAATTCCTACAAAGTCTGCAAATCTTAAAAGAAAAAAGGAAAAGTAGCACATATAGTTGCCTGAAAATGAAACACACACACACACACACACTCTGCACAGTCAAACAGAATCCTGTGCAATTTTTTCCCCATTTACTGCGACACACTCAGCTCTGCAATCACATGTCAACCTGTCTGCACCAATAACAACTCGGCTGCAGAAAAAAACCCTCGTACCTGAGAGCGCTCGTCAGGAGGAGGCCGATGTTTGGAGGAAACGGAAACTGATACGCTTTAAAAAGTGAGGAGGAGGAGGGGGTGGAAAAAACGAGGATATTAAAGAGGTCAGGGAGACAGCGACCATTTTAAGGCCTTCCAGCTCTTCATTTTAAAATTCTCTGAACTGTTTCATGACTTTTAAATTATTTCTAATTATCAATTTTTTTGCCAACACCTTTTTGAAAAAGTCTGAACATTTTCTGACATGTTGGATTTTCCGCCTCTGAGGAGAAGTGTGAGGGAGGAGGAGAAAGATTTGTCATAAAAGGAGGTCACAGGTGGAGGTGCATGCTGAAGCAAGAAAAAAACTAATACAGCTCAACACACACACACACACACACACACACACACACACACACACACACACACACACACACACACACACACACACACACACAGATCCTACCATGAAGCATGCTGGTCCTCGGAGGTTTCTGGAAATAGTCATCCACAGGCGACTGCGGCGCGACAAGTTTCTCAGACTCTCTCTGACTCCTCGCCTCAAGCAGACGGGCAAACAGCCTTGTGGGTAAACAAGGGTGAGCGGGGGTATAGTGGATGGTTTCACTTGGCAGGTCCCCCCCTGGGTGGGCGGGGCCAATGCACTCAAAGAAGATGTCAATCATTTACTGTCAGACACCAATGAGGAAGCTTTTGTCTCCGAACTTAAATCCTTTGATTCTTCTGGAGGGAGTCAATGATTGAAAACATGCAGCGAGGGACACCCAGGCCTACTCCTCAGTGTGTGTGTGTGTGTGTGTGTGTGTGTGTGTGTGTGTGTGTGTGTGTGTGTGTGTGTGTGTGTGTGTGAGTGGCTGTCAGGGTGATAATGATCTGGCCGTCTCTGCAGGTCAGAGGTGACCTCAGCACTGTGATCTCCTGTTTGTTTTTGCTTTGCTGCCCTTGGACGGGTTAACACAGCACACAGAGCATCAGCTGGGCCGTGCACTTCCTCTGACACACACACACACACACACACACACACACACACACACACACACACACACACACACACACACAGGGCTCAGTCAGTGGGCGTCTGGGGGTCACTTCCACATGTGTTGATGGTCCTGAGTGGACTAATCTAAACTGGTGAAATGTTATCCCCCTGCAGGGAGGACAGGAGCCTAAACGGCCTCGACTATTGCGCTCTGTCGGCCTGACGTTCAGGAGAGGAACCACAGAGAGATCTAAACACACGTGTTACATGCAGCTGACGTGTGTGGGGGAAAAAAATGAGTTTTTAAACAATTAATAAATCTTAAAATCCTCCATAAACTCGGCTCCTCATGCGCCCAGAATGCATTGTTCTGAGGGTTTTAATGCTTTAATTCACAACACGAGCGAGTAAAAAGTGTTGCTGAAACAAAGTCAACTTGATGAACTGACGAGAAAGGTCACAAGGTCGCAACGTTTGAGGTTGTATGAGCCAATAGCCTTTTTTGAGTGTTTCCAGGAGTCACTGATAGTGCAGCTCTCGTACTCTGCGGTGCATCTATAGTTAGTGAGTTATGACATTTTTACATTATTAAGACATGATGTTAATAATAGTTCAGTTTAAACACACAAAATACAGAATCACAGACATCACAACAAAGAGCAGGTACTCAGCAGAGAGGTGATTACAGGGCCTAAAGAAGAGTATTTGACTTTGAAGTTGTTTCACATTTGGATATTTTCTTTCAAATCTGAAACTTCATTTTATTGGGAAATTTAAATTTCATGTGCTTTTTGAAAGTAGATATTGAACTTGAACTCTGTGTCTGGTCACTCATCCCAGTTCCTTTGTTTAGAGATATATAACATAACATAATAAATACCAGATTAAAGAAAAAGAGAGAGCAAGATGAACTGAGGCTGTGGGTTCAAATCCAACCTCTTTGCTGCATCATCGTCCCCTCTCTCCATCCTGTGTTTCCTGTCTCTCTTCAGCAAAAAACAACTGTTTATTCAGGGCGCTGGTAGCCAGGTGGTTGGTGCGCCCATCCTACGTGCCTATAGGCTGAAGTCCTCCAGGCGGATGGCCAGGGTTCGAGTCCGACCTGTGGCTCCTATCCTGCATGTCATTCCCCACTTTCTCTTGCCCCCGATTTCACCCTGTCCAGGGTCACATCAAAGACTGAAGTAACTAAACGTCTGGGGGCTATTCACTGACGTTTTAAAGTATATTACTACAGTAATATTAAAAATGGCCCCCTTCGTTAGCATACGATTACTCTCCTAACACCATGGGGGCTTCAGTAGCTCAGTCTGTAGGGACTCGGGTTGGGAACCGGAGGGTCACCAGTTTGAGTATCGGTGCAGACAGAGTGGTTGCTGGAGAGGAGTCTAGCACTGTCAGGTCCGCTGAGCAAGGCACCAAACCCCACCAGTTCAAGAGCGCTCGCTCCCAGTTGCATAATTGATAAAGTTTATCTTCTTCTTCTTCTGTGTAAAAGTGGTAAAAAGAAAAGAAAAGAGAGCTCAAGCATGACAAGGCGTACTTTCGGATTTAAGGCAGACTTTTCTGTCAACATGTTCTACCACTGTGAGGAGATTTTCATCACACATATGCGTCCTTAAGACACAGCAGCCAGCCTTCTCGGAGGATTTAAGGTATTTAATCGACTGTATTTACCCTCCAGATAGTTTTTGTGGTGTCGCCTCCGCGCAAACAGGACAGCAGCCACATCACAGGTCTGCAGAGGCTGCAGTGCTGACTGAGGCGGTGCCAGCAGAGGTATGCTAATGGAGACAGAGGATCTTTCTGTGTGCGTCACAGCTCTCCTCTGAGCACCGTGGTCGGATGCCCACCCACCTCCTTAACTCTCAAACTTCAAACGCTTGACACAGACGCACTAATACAGAACATGTTGGGCCGGAGTGCTGGACATGTAAGACAAGAGAAGGAGAAAAGAAAAGGAAAGAAGAATTAGTCATTATTTATGTACCAGAGAGGATTAAAATCAACATGTTCAGGAACCAGCAGGCCCTCGTGGTTTTTATAACTGCTGTTCAAATAATCACAGAGCAGATCGAAGGTATGATCACTCCTCCTCCTCGCCTCCTTCCCACCTTAAATCCTTTCCTTAATCCAAGCCCTACAGCAGCCGCTCCAGGCAACTGTGATTGGAAAGTAGCAGGGCAGCTAAATTAATCAAGCGTTAATCATTTTTTCGAAGGCCAACAAACAACAAAAACAGATCAAAATGCTGCAGAAAACGAGGATCTGTAATTGTGATGTGCTGAACTAAATATACAAAGAAATTCATGCCGTACATGACAGATTAACAAATCATAAGGATCCAAAATCTGTACGATTTCTCGCATCAGAAACGCAATAACAACAAAACACATTTATTTGGAGGATTGGGACGCATATTCAGGAAAACATACAGAAGTCTAAAACTAAGACTACAAACTAAATGTGCTGCAGAATGCTCATGAACAGGAAATGTGCTGCAGTGAAAAAGAACAATGCAAAGTCAAAAACAAAAGCAGACTGTGGAGACAAGGATGCACAACCCCTGCTAGGTAGCAGCTGCATGCTGTAGCTTAACTAAAGCTCAAGGTGCAGCTGCCTCCTTTAAGCTAATAATGTAAACTTACAGTGTAAATGCAGCTCTTTCAAACTGCATCCTTGATCTTTATCTTCTCATTATCCTCCGTCTCGTGCAACACGATGTTGTACACATCGTTAGCATCCCGATCAATGACATCATCCACTATCTCTTTTTGATTACACAAATGTGGTCCGTATCAGCCGTAGTCAGCTAATAACGTGAACTGAAAAAAATGAATGTTTGAAACCTGAGCGACGTCACCCGTCTGTTCCTGCAGGGAACCGAGAGCTGGAGCTGAGGCGGGTTTTCAGCCTCCTGACAAACCGTTACACTCATTTCTTTTCACAAACTTTCTGGGGGTAGATGGGGCTATGGGGGCACTATCACTCTAAGAAATTGCTGTAAATTTACAAGGAAATTTCAACAGTATGATCCTGTTATGTTTAAATACAGGACATTACTGTATTATAACGGTTTATAACAATATTTTACTGTATTATTGCTTGAAGGAAATAAAACAGTAATTTACTGTAGTTTTTGCAATGCATTTTGGGAAAAAGAAGTCGACACCACATGGTTGAAAGGACAGTGGAGTTGGCTTTGCCCGATTGTCATCCATCTCCATCCTGACAATTAAGAGGTGAGTGCCTTCCTGCTTTGCTAGTTAGAATAGGCAAAAACCATCGCTTACTAAATTTGAAGTCATTTGTGGGATTAACATTAGCGAGATTTGGAAATTACACAGAAACACTGCAGGCAGACACACACGCAGTGAGTGGATTCTTTGCCAGCTAACATAAATGTAAATTATGTAATTATATAACATACTGTAAATTGTCAGCAACAGCAATATACTGTCAATTTTACAGTAACTTCCTGGCAACCCTACTGCCAGTTGTTTACCGTTTTTTAACAGGGGGAAAAGGAGTGTAACGCCTTTTCCAGAGGACAATTCACCTCCCTCTAGTAGCCATTGATGTCCTCTGCTTCTTTAATCTCCAAAGAGTTGATACCCCATTACTAGAAACAAAATTAACATTAAATTCTGCATCTGTTTGCTTTCCTTTCTACCTTTCTGACAGAATAATCAGTTAATTAAATAAAGTATTTGCAGAATAAACATCTGCATGCATTTGTGCACACATGCATATGTAGAGAGTCGTCTGGGTGTGTGTGTGTGTGTGTGTGTGTGTGTGTGTGTGTGTGTGTGTGTGTGTGTGTGTGTGTGTGTGTGTGTGTGTGTGTGTGTGTGTCGGGAAAGCTGTGAACTGAAAACAAATGGGAATCCTAAGAGAGGTGAACATGACAAATGGAGCTGCATTAGTGTGTGGAGAGGGGTCTGGTTTAGCACATAATGTGTGTGTGTGTGTGTGTGTGTGTGTGTGTGTGTGTGTGTGTGTGTGTGTGTGTGTGTGAGGGGGTAATAGAGGGAATGGGAATGACATATCAGATGGGGAGGAATGGTGGGGATGGAGTCAGTGAAGGTCTGACACTGCCAGATCCGTCCATGTGTCACTGATTAACCGGGTAGAGTTGCAATGATTTAGTTGACAAAGCATCGCATTAGTGCACTGGATCCAAACCTCTGCGTGTGTGTGTGTGTGTGTGTGTGTGCGTGTGTGTGTGGGTGCAGATTAATGATCCAGGGGAAAGCCAGATACGTGTTGACATTAACCGAGGTGCCAAAGTGATATCACTGCATTGTTTTATTTCTCACGATGCTTCGTTTTTGTTTACAGTGCTCAGATTATTGAGAATGACTGCTATGCTTTCTTGGAAATTGTGCAAAATGATTCATGCAAAACACTTTGCAAAAAACATGAAGTTGACAAGTCCCCGTGGCAGAAATTTCAGGACTTGTGAAAGAAAATTAATATGATTCAGTGGTTTATTCCACCAATGTGAAATGTGAAACCAACACGGAAGTACCAAGAACTGCAATACCTCAAGTGTCCACTAGAGTCTGTCTCCTGCAGTGAGT